GAGCCAGCCGAACCCACACCAGCCGCCTCACCCCAGTCAAACGGTGAACCCACACCCAACCGTCCCTGCCCCAGTCTTCACACAAGGGCCCGCACAAGGGGACCCTAGATTGTCCAAATGCCAGGAATGAGGAAGAACCAGGGTACCGTCCCAACAGTATAAAATACCTTCCTTTACAATCACTGATCTAAATGACATGATAGGTTTCAATCATATGGCTTTATCCCAACCTATGTAGTCGCCTTACACCAATGGGAGTGGGAGAGGAAATGAGGGAAGGAAATTTGTCAGAGTTTTGGGCTACAGCTCCATGTTGACACCCTGACTAGGGAGGACTGGATTCACTTCCCTTGCAAATGAGTCCATCAGAACAGGGACCAAAATCTGGCTTAAATCAAAAGGGAGGGACACTAAATGTGTTACTATATTACTATATTATATATTAGTATACTACATACTAAGTTATTATAATATAGTAATAATACTATTCTAAGGTATTTATTACTCCAAAGCCAATGACAGCCTGAGTGTAGCTTTACACCAAGTTTATGCATAGCATCTGTTTACATTTCTCTTTACATGTCTCTCTGTGTGGCTTGTAATCTAATCAAATATATGTTTTACTTTGATACAGTAGTTGTGTAAATGTGTGTCTTTGTTTCCTACTGTAATTTCCAACATAGTTATTATTATATAGCACTTTTTGTTTGCCAATGGAATTGATCATGCTTTTCACATTGTCACGCTATTTATTGTCTCAAAATAGGTGTTTATATTTTGAGTGTTTAGACAATCAACACAAAGCACAGATATTTGGCCTGGCCAAAAAACAATTTAAGGTCAAATAGGAATTCTTAATTGCTAATTGAAATAGAAAATAAAATAGATAATAGAAAATAAATGAGAGCAAACATTCTCTTTTTTCTTTAGGAGTAATGTAAGTTAGTGGTAATTTTCCCAAACAGCTAAGATTTGAGAATGGTCCACTTGATGAAACGTCTTAGGCACTTAGTTCTCTGTAATACTTTCTAGAAAGGGTAAGATGCACCCTTTATAGGGTTGCATTTTCTTCCTTATGTTACTTAACATGCTATTGTATTTTGTATAGGTAGCCTAAATCAGGGATTGCATACCAAGTGTGTGAATCTTGACCTAAATCTACAAGTCATAATTATTTCCAAGGTACACCCTACATCAGTAAAATGTGGACTTGAACTAATATAAAGTGTGAACTTAGCAGATAATACTATTTTACTGCTTCATATGTAATATGGTGTGTTACATTGTTATCTGCTGGTCCTTTGCCTTGAATTGCCAATCTTGATCAAGTTATAGGACAATTTTACATTTTCTTACATCCCAATCTTTTTGTCTCTTTCAGCTTTGTTTCATATTTAGGAAATGACATAGGTGTATATCACAGGAGGCTGGTGGCACCTTAATTGGGGAGGACGGGCTCATGGTAATGCATGGAGCAGAATCAGTGGAATGGTATCAAATACATCAAACACAGGGTTTCCATGTATTTGATGCCATTCCATATGCTCCATTCCAGCCATTATTACGAGCCATCCTCCCCTCAGCAGCCTCCACTGGTGTATATATTTTCCTTGTGGATTTTCAGTACAAATCAATCAGTATTGACTGTACATACATATTTGATTTACAACCATTTTGTGCGCAGATTGAAACATCTATGTCTCTTACTCTGGTTTGTTTGAGATAATACAAATATGTATTTCAGACACCTGTTGCAATCTTTTACACCAACAATTACAGTATATGTTATCCACCCAGCAGCCCTCAACTCTTACCCAGCCCTCAGCCACATTAAAACACTGATATAACAAAACATATTTAATGAATCTGTTACAAACATCAAAACAAAAGCTAGTTGTGACTCTTAAAATATAGTTAAATATTTGTTCTAGAATCTATGGCAAACATTTATCAAATTATATTTTCATGTAACCTTTTTAGTTACTAACACATCCCTAATCTCAACTCAAAGGCACTAAACTGTGGCATTAAAAAGGTGTTTCAGTGTTAAATGCTGCCATATATTTACAGAGTTTGCTGAAAAAGTGGTTAATTTAGTATAGACATAAGGCATGTACACTTACTAATTTGGTTGTCCTACTTATTGACATTACAATAAACATGACAAAATTGAAAGATTAACAAACAGGTCAGTGAGAACGAAAGAAAGTCATTATTTTCACATTGTCTTTCTTAGTTGGATATTTTAGTGACAGCAGTGTGCCCTACTAGGCCTACATACACATATTACAATTACATGTAACAATTTGACAATATTTTTTGCATAACCTTTGTCACACTGAGCTTTAGCTTGACAATCATGGTGCAGTTTCTTTTGCGCAAACCAGCTCCTTATTTTCCACTACACTCCACATCCTGAGTAGCTCCTGAGGACTCAATTTATGGACTACGATGAGGTTTTTGAAAAAGCACGGTTCGCTGTTCATTGGACTCACTCTGCGTTTCATGATGCCAAAGGTCCTGAAACCTGGGTGCATCTCTGGAGTCAAGTGTAGCTTCTGGAGGCACATTCCCAAAAACACATCATCAATGGGATAGAGCTCCAAGTCCTCTGAAACCACAAACAGTCTCCGAGCTAATTGTGAGGACATTAAAAACCCACCACCACCAACATAAGGTGGGTACGGTTTGTCAAACAGCTCTTTGGGGATGTAGTATTTACTTTGATGGTTTCTGATGGGGATGGCTTTGGATATGGTGTCCCCAACAAATAAGTTGAGCACTTTGCGGTCCTCAGTCTTGAAACCAATAAGTTCCAGTAAGTTATTTGTATTCACGAAAACGTCGTCATCCCCTTTGAATATAAATTTGGCACCGGAGCAGTGAATATCAAACCATTTCAGAAAATTCACCTCTTTCAAGGTGAGGTTGAAAAATGTGTCCATAAAATCCCATTGAAGAATGTCTCCATATATCATGTCCTCATACTCAATCAACTTTTGAAGGTTTTTCGTGTCTTTACCATTTGTAGGGCTTCCTAGAAGAAACAGCGTTTTTATTCTCTTACCATCAATTGTCTGTTCCCTACCCCAGGTATTACGCACGGCCTCTCGCCTATCATGCTGCTCTACAACGGATTTTACTACCATGAGCAAGTGTATGTCTCCATTCCTGCATTTATCCGGGTGGTTTATTAACATTGGGAAATACCGACAATGTCTGTGTAACACAAACTGGTGGAACCTCGGATCCAAACGTCGAAACCAATCATTTTTCCTCACGGATGAATCTTCACTGCAGTTCATAACGTGTACATCCCAAGTAGCCGCAGTAGCGTTGGACACGGTCACCCGTGGCGCATCCAAATCATCACCAAGAACAGGCGGTGAGTAGTTTCCAAAACTGCTTTTCAATGTGCCTTTTCCTTTGTAGAAATCACACTCAGGTCCACACCAACCGGCGTCTCCCAGGCTCTTAACCTCCATACCATCATTGACGCTATTATCCACAAGTTTGAACTTTTGGATCATCAATAAAGACGCAAAAACTAGAGACAAGCTCAGGAGAGTTTTCAATACCCTCTTTCTCCTGAAAAAATTATACATAGCTATGGCGCAAAACGTGTAATGAATAAGAAATCCTTAAATTGAATAGGCACTCCTATTGTCATAGCATCTCATCATTCATTAGTGTCCATTTTGAAAAATTGAGCGCTGCGCGTAAATTACAGTTTGGCTACATCTTAGTGAGTCTGTTCACTGTCCCGTGTCAGCTACCTTAAAAGTAGGTAGCTGGACGCCACCATGGTATTCCTTTAGCGTACAATAAGACTGGCCTAAAAGTGTTCGATGAGATAGTCTACCATCTGTGGACTGGTCTTGAAAAGTGACTGTTGCCTACAAGCTTCTCCCCTTACTCAGTTCCCACTAAGCATGGACCGACTTCTTTAGGACGTCTTTTTTCGGGGTCCTGTCCAGACCGGCCTGCGTTGTTTGGTGTGGTCTGGACCAGCCTTGATTTCAATGTCCACAGATGTTGATTTTTGGTCTGGTCCGAACCAATCATAGATGTCTATGTTTGGTTCAGATTTGGTCCGGTCCAGAAAATACGTATTTTCATCTTTCATTCAGAACCTAACATTAACCTAACTTTGACGTCAGAAAATACGTATTTTCAACATAATTTTGCTTACTTTTTTTTCTCCTCTCCCCAATACACCTATCTGTGACAAAATGCAGGTTTCTTATTTCACATCACAGGAGGCTCACTAGACTGCGTCTCCGGTTGGCACACTAGACTTTTAGGCTTAAAATGAGATATCTAATGGCATAAGCTACTTGAAAAACTAAGGCTGAAGCTATATTGTCCATTTGATTGCACCTGCTATTTATTTATCAGCCATCAAGAAATACGGTGTATTGTCTTATTATAATGATAATAATACTGTATTATATAATAGGTTATTGTGTATGATTATATGCATTACAATAACACAGCCTACATACAATTGCCCATCAACGTAGCTAAGGAACTAAACGTAAGTCCCTTAGTTACCCATCAACGAAGCTTCAGAAAACGTAATTATAAACTACAGGAGAAATTTGTTTTGCAGCAGTCATCCATTAACACAAAAATATATTTATCACACACACACACAGATCCCCAGGGACCAAATCAGTGTAACTCCAGACGCCCAAGCACAGATGAAAGGGGAAACCAGTGTCTTTGGGCTGTTTGAGGAAATTCATTATAAGGTTTTACCACCCCCGTGTGTCGGTTTTGGAAATTGACAAATTTGTGTGGTTTTTTTCCACCACAAACAACGACCTTGCCGCACCGTTCCCCCCTGTATCAACATGTATTAAGTGCAGTAAGACATGACACTCAATTTTTTGTCGAAATAAGAAAGACAAACAGTAGCTAGTAGGCACCATTGACTGGCACAAGGTATCAAGTTTTTTTTGATAACTCAACATCAGAGACCTCGACCTCTGATTGAACTGCACGTGACTTCCAGACGTAGCTACATTTTTCGGAATTCGAACGCTGTCTAGATTCACCACTCGGATTAGAAAACAACACGGTGTCTTTTTTATCAGAACGACGATTTTACAGTTTACTGACCACCTGTATTCAGAACGAAATTACCTTAGATTTAATTAGCAGATTAGCTAGCTACGTCCACAAATATTTGTGCAAAAGCGACTGTTAACAAGATTGCAATCCAGCGACTGACATGTAGCTAACTTCCAAAAATGAGGAAGAAACAGGTGAGCTTGTCCGAGTTAGTAGTTAGCCAACGTTAGCTAGTTAAGCTCCCACAATATATACTATTATTTAACACTATTTAGCTACCTAGCTAGCGATTAAATTGTCTTTGGAAATTATTTAGTCTTTCATCAACGAACTAACGGTAGTCTGTTAGCTAGTGGGGCAGTAGTTTGCTAGCTAGCTATCTCCGTTGGTTACGGTAGCCAGCTAAGAAGTGTTAGTTACTTAGCTAATGAATAATGTCTGCAACTGTGTTGATTTAACAAAATGCGTGAACTCATTTCAGATGTCTAGTCGAGTTAGCAATTTGAAGCGGCGAAAGGAGAAGTGCACTCGTGCCTCAAGCGACCTAAACCTCAAGGTGAAGAGTTCAGATAAGGTGAATGTTGTGTTTTAGTTATTCTCATTTTAGCTACGTGTTAAATTATGGCTGGTCCGTCAGTGTTATGGAAGCCTTTTAGTATTTTTAATACGCTGTTTTGCCTTCATAGAGTTCAGTGAAGAGGATGGATGTTAAAAAAACGAAATTGGAAGACTCAAAAACCGAAATGCCCCTGAATGACTGTATGGTTGGCGGTTGTAGGGCGTCAACAACCACTTCTGAGAAGCTCAGCTGTGATGGTTATAAGTGGGATGAAAAGACAAGGTGTGGAGCACCACCAGACATGGATGAATTGTGGGAAGGTAAAGAGAATGGTCTGAGATTTGAGTTGAATTACTGCAAAACAAACGGGTTACCAGAGAATATGGAGGGTGACGAAACTGAAGAGGGTGTTGTGATTGACAAGAGCATCTTCCTTGACGATGACAGTAACCAGGTTCTTCCTGTGGAAAAGTTCTTCGGAAACATGGAAGTTGTACAGGTGAGAGGAGATTTTTATAACAAGGCCAATGTGCTTGGTGTGATGGGTGAAATAATGGTCTGCTGTTTGGAGCATGATGTGGCCTAATTTCAAATACTCTGATATTTCCATTTGCCTTGTAGGATTGTCCACGGAGATCTGCAGCCTCCTCGACCTTCAGCAGGAGGGAGCACCGGAGACGACAGTACTACGCCAAAGAGGACAGTGATGAAGAAGAGGGCTACACAGACATGCAAGATGACATAGGTGGCACTTAGTTTACAGAAATAACTAATTCATATCAATGGAATGGATTAAAACCTCTGTCCTTTTACTAGCCTAATGGCAGATAAGCCTTGGAAAGTGGGTTTGTTCAATGGAACGAGGGTATCAAGTTAACTTTTTGCCAGCATGTAACCCAAAGTTTAAACATTTGTATTGCTATTTGCACTAACAAAATAACTATTTGATTTTCAATTATCAGGACCTATAGTTTATAGTGTGTGTGTATATATTGTTTAATTGGTACAGGGTAAGCGCTCGTTCTATTTTTTTTTTTATTGAATGTGTCTTTTACTATGTTGTTACTGGTTGCCTTGTCAGTATGTATGCACAATAATAGCTTTTTATTTGGCGTTTTTATATTGCTATGTAATAGCACGACTGAATGAATGGAACATATAAATCATGTAGTCTTTAGGCAGGTTTCCAATGACCCAGGTTTATTCGACAAAAGCAATGTAGAAAAAAATAATAATTGTGACGTGTAATGGAAACGGCAGATATAGGAAACCATTTCTAAAGATCTACAACATTTTTATCTGTTCGACGGGTGGGATTTTCCTTTCGTCAAACCTTCTTTGCGACAAATGATGATGGAAACTGTTTTTCGAATAAATAATTGCTGAATTCTTTGGAAGGTACATGGGGCACGTGATGTCATCACGTAACAATACGCTCCACATTTAATTCTAAATGCCTACTGTTTGGAAAATCAATTTCCTCAACTGGTTGGCTGGCAAGTTTCACCATTTAATTATTTCTGATCTACAGGAGTGCAAATTTCACCGTAGTACAGACGTGGTGATACGTAGGCACAATATTAGTCAATTATTGCATATCCATTCAGGCTTTCTCGGACTACCTGAGACATGAAACCGATAGGTGGGAGGGCATACAGTCTGTCACCAATTTATGAGTGCTCAATTTGTCTAAGCGGGTAATGGAAACACTTCAACCACATTTTTATTCAACACTAGGTTTTGGCAGAAAAGTTTTTTCTAGGTGTGACGTCATTACGTCCAGCTGTTTTCATCGACAAGATAAGTTAAAAGGAAACGCACCATAGCAGGCAATTGGCACATCTACACTGAACGAAAATATAAACACAACATGTAAAATGTTGGTCCCATGTTTCATTAGCTTATTTCTCTCAAATTTTGTGCACAAATTTGTTTACATCCCTGTTAGTGAGCATTTCTCCTTTGCCAAGATTGTCCATCCACCTGACAGGTGTGGCATATCAAGAAGCTGATTAAACAGCATGATCATTACACAGGTGCACCTTGTGCTGGGAACAATAAAAGGCCACTTTAAAATTTGCTGTTTTATCACACAACTCAATGCCACAGATTTGCCACAAGTTTTGAGGGCGCGTGCAATTGGCATGCTGACTGCAGGGAATGTCCACCAGAGCTGTTAATGTTAATTTCTCTACCATAAGCTGCCGCCAACGTCATTAAAGCCCTTTTGTGGGGGAAAACTCATTCTGATTGGCACCCCTGCCCAGTCATGTGAAATCCATAGATGATGGTTTAATGAATTTATTTCAATTGACTGATTTCCTTATATGAACTGTAACTCAGTAAAATCTTTGAAATTGTTGCATGTTGCCTTTATATTTTAGTTCAGTATATTTTCAATGCAAACTTTGTAAATGTTGACAACAAAAAAAAATCGCTGTAGAAGTTAAACATAGGTAATGTTACACTGCCAATACAAGGAGCAAGTTAACTTATTTAGAATTTTCAATGACCTGTGTCTGCATTGTTCTACAAACACATTTACACTTGCCCAAATGAAAGCTGTTGAAACTAAGCATAACTTTATCACATAATTATCTAATTACGCTTACAGGCTATGGCACAGCAATCAGATCTGCTATAATGAAATCTGTGTGACTCCAAAGCAAAATAGTCAAACCTCAGACAACTTTCTTTAAAAACGTTTTATTGGTTCCCCCCACACAATTATAGTGCAAACAGTAAATAAATTAGAATACGCGTTATACATTCAAATATAATTAAAATTATATTTGTAAATGTCAGAAGAAATCGTTCTCTATGCACTTGGAGATTTGAGGATTTGACAGGTGTTATCAATCTGGTAATAGCTCCACCTTGTCCTCTGATAGGGGAGGGGGGGCCTTCAGTACAACAAAAGTGTTTTGCATTTTAAATTCAACGGAAAAGGTAGTGAACGACCAGTTGAAGAACGGAGTGATTATGGCGGCCCAGAGGGAGATTGTATGGTGTGTGCTGCACGTGTTTTGCAATTTTAAATGGTCACATCCATATTGATCAGGCCACACCCACCAAACAGGCACAAACTTACCTCAAAGGCTGTTGAAGAATGGTGCGCACCATTTTGGGGACACGTGTCTTTCAGTACAAACCGTCACACAATGTAGAAAACGTTGAATTGAACTGAACACACCCTGTGCATAGGAATTGGGACGATTTGGGATTGGCCCATTGACTACTACCCAATCAGTGGCTCATAATGGAGTGCTTTTTAAGATCACTAGCACAAAATAATCAACAAATCAGCTGTTCAGAGAGCAGCAGAAAACAATGTTCCCTGCCCAGAATTACATTTAGTTCAATTTACCAGTAGTAATACGTCTTGCACTTCATCCATTGTTTGTGAAAATAAAAATCATAATGCCCCTTTACTAGTCTTTTACTTAATTTTTTAGAATAACAAACACTAGAAAAGCATCTGCCCTTAAATGTAAAAAACATCTTCACTTTATAGAGAATCATTTTCGTTTGCCCCGTTTGTACATGTTTCTTTTATCACACAGCAAGTCATGGGCACTTTTCTTATGGCATACGATATGCACCAGCTTTAGATTCTCCCGAGTGAACAGCAGTTTGTAAAAATAGTCCAGGTTTATGTTGTTGCTATTGCGGTTCTGCAGTGCTTCCACCAGGGCAGGAATGACCGTCCTCTTCTTCTCAATCCTGGGACAGAGATTTCAATCAACTACAGATTTGATCCACAACCGACATACATAACATTGCAATTCATAATTAAGCAAGCTTTTTTGTAATACTGTTTCAAACACGATTTTGAGCCTGACATTCTGAATGATATTAATAACCGTTATCATCCACTAAACCCACCTGTGGTCCAAGTTCCAGGTGCTGAAGAGAATCCTGCTCTCTCGGTTGCCATAGGGGTTGATGGAGTGTAGGGACTTGCATTCATCCTGGTCAAAAGCACCCTGAGGAAAGGAGAGAGATGGGGGGAGGACACAGGCTGTAAGACAGGATGCTACGGTGCCAAACATGGTACTGTTGGTAACCATTCACATCTCCGTGACCATTTTCAATCACCTAATTAATTATGTTGTGTTTATGCTTTATTATAGTCAAATTCTACATTACTAGCCTCTTTCAGGTTCATAAATGTTACCTGACAGGAGAACCATCCTTCCTTGGTGCATAGTCGATTGAGTTCCTTCTCTGTCCTGTTGAAGTAGCAGCCATTGTACTTGTCAGACTTCAGCTGCATCACCAAGGACTCTGCAGTCTTCTTGTATTCATCCTTGAGTTTAGGCTTTTGGATTGTTTGAGCATAACTATCCACCTGTGTATAAGCAAATTATAAATCAGTCATGAGTAAGTATATTCTTTCCCCTCAGAAAATAGAAGGGCAGATAACAATTTGGATTATATTTGTTATACTGAGGTACTCCTTTTGAGGATCACTTCTTGACAGTCCCAACCACTTTCAGCGTCAAACCAAAGCATCAGTAATACAGTTTTACCTCCTTCATGTATCCACGAATCCTGCTCTCACAGTTGTACTTCATGTAGGCTGATTTGGTCTTAAATCTGACATCAATTCCTGAAAGCACAGAAATGGAAGGGTTGCAACTTTAAAAGGTACAGATTGTTTCAGCTAAATATAAAAAGTTCCTTATACTTTGCTCCATCTTGCTTTTGGCTATCACATTGTTTCCTGCAGGATTTCTTTCCAACCCAAGATTGAGTGAGGACTTGTTACCTTGGAACCAGTCTTCATCGTCTTCTCTGTTTTCAGTCTCAGAGCTGTCCTTCAAATGCAGCAGCAGTTCCCCCAGGAGTTTGCGTCTCTTTGGATAACGCTTGTCAGAGAGAAGCCCCTTAGCCGCATTAATCAGAAGATCCGAGTTCCTGTCGGTGTCCAGCAACCGGACTATGTCACAGACAACTGGAATAATAACAAATCATACCTGTTATTTAAATTGATTTACAGAGCAACCTTTGTTAGCTACACATCCAAGCCATGGCACCAATGTGACCAGCTGGGTTTGAAGCCCAAACAGCCTCACTGACCAACCTGGACTCAGGGGTAGACGTAACATAGTACATGTAAATCCAGGACACTCCAATGAGTATAATATGTTACATTTCTAATAGTATGTATTAATTTGTGGATGGCCATCATCCATTTCGTATCATATGTTACAAATTAACATTCGTATGATACTGTATGTTACGAATTGCAATTCGTACAATATGTTTCTAATTCCAGTTTGTTGTGGCTAACGTTAGCTAGGTTAGGGGTTAGAATTAAGATTAGTAGTTAGGTTAAAGGGTTAAGGTTAGCAGTGTTTCCCAAACTCAGACCTGGGGATCCCAAGGGGCGCACGTTTTGTTTTTTTCCCTAGCACTACACAGCTGATTCAAATAATCAAAGCTTAATGATGAGTTGATTATTAGAATCAGCTGTTTAGTGCTAGGGCAAAAACCAAAATGTGCACCCCTTGGGGTGCCCAGGACCGAGTTTGGGAAACACTGGGTTAGGGGAAGGTTAAAAAGTAGTAAGTAGTCGCAAAATTGCTCAAATGCTAAAGCTGTCTGTGATGAGATTCGAACACGCAATCTTTGGGTTGCTAGATGTTCGCGTTATCCACCCTACTTTTTGCTTGAGTAACCTTCTGTCTTATGTAACCATACCAAACATATCATACTAATTTGAGTGTCCCTGATTTACGTTTACTATTTTACGTCTAGTCTATGAGACCAGGCTGCACCGGCAACAATCACTGGCAGGCAAGGTTAAGCTACTCATTAGTGAGTGTGGTTAACTGCTCTTCCTAAAAGTGAAAGCAAGGCGAATCCATCCTTTTCAAATCAATTACCTCAATTATATGCCTACATAAAGTATTTAAAGAAGTGCATATTTAAATTAGTATTGTTATCATTTATTTACCATGCACAGCTACATAAAGTAGGTCTTATCAATATATAAATGTGCATGACACCAAGTCTAAGGTGGTTAACGTTAGTTGGCTAGTTGTTTGTTTTAAATGTTTTTTACAGTCAGTTACAATGTTTAACTCACATCCGCTCCATCTCTCATCCATGGCAAGAAGGACAAGTTCAGCATTGTCTGGAAGACTTCGGAAATAGTCCTCTGACAATTCTGTTCCATCTTCATACAAACAAATATGCGAACCGACGAGTGGAACCTAGAAGAAAAGGATTCACATAATAATGTAAATTAAAGAACAATGTAACTTTCATTATCGCCACTTCCTCGTTGCAGGTCAAGACCGACTGTTTTGGTCTGGTAGCAGTAGAATGTGCTAAACTACTGGGCGAAATCGTACCTGTAGAAGTTTACTCCCCTTTTTGAGAAGCTCTTTCAGACTTGTTGCAGCCACCCCATATTTTTTAGTTTCATTCAGACTTCTTATTTTGACAAGTTTGTTTTTTCTGAAAAGTCCAGACATCGCGCCCTTTCTTCTATGAAGACCATTGAGCAGAAACATGGAAAGAAAGGACGCATACTGCCAACTAGTGGACTGGAAAGGCTGGAAAATTATCCAAAATTATTCTTCTTCTTCTATGGTATATTGGCGATCACACAATTTAATGTGCATTCCGGATGCAAACAGGATTCCCCAGAAAACGGAACAAACTACCATTATTTAAAAAATCTAACAACTTTTCTGTTAAAAAATAAAACAGATCTGATCCCTACACAGGCTCAAGGTGAGCCTGGGAGGGTGGGTCTTCTGGCGCCAGTACCCCTTGCAAGTCTTCAGATGTAAAATCCTTAAGTCCCGAAAACTGTTCAGCCGCAGCCACAATAATGTCCAGTTTCTTAGATTTCTTTGAGACTTGTGCTGTACAGTTTATAACTGTGGCAATGAACGCAACAAAATCCACCTTTTTGTCTGGCAGCAAACATTTACTACAGGCTGTGGTGTATCCATTACCATATCTTCACTAGCATCACTTGTTTTCTCAATTATTTTATATTCGATTGACCGCTCTAACTTTTGCCACCTCAATCTCCTTCACCCTTAAAGGGCACTCCAGGAAGTCAGGATCATGATCCCCACCACAATTGTACCACCGTCATCCTTCTACACACCGTTTTTCAGTATACTCTGTTCGTCTGCACACACTTGAAACATGGCCAAATCCTTTACAAATCTTACACTACATTGGTTTGGGGACGAAAGCTCTTACGGCTTATCTTACATTACTAAGCTTCACATGCGCAGGTATTTGCTCTTTATCAAAAAACAACATGACCGACTTTCTTCTTTTGCCTCATTCACCCAGTGGATCAGACACCCGGCACCAACCACACCAGGAATTATCTTCAGGTATTCAATCTGAACATCCGTCGTCAACCCTGAGATGACTCCTTTGACGGGTGCTCTACTCCGAAGTTCAAAACACAAAACTTCTGTTGTCTGGATTCTTTTGAGGCCCACTGCAATCTTCCTCTGCTCTTCAGAAATACAATTAATCAAAATAAGACCACTCCTGGTCACTCTGACAGACTCCACTTTTCCAAGCGCATACGTCAGCATTTTCGACACCTCAAACGGGTTTCCCACATATGCATCCTTACTCAACAAACGCATCCCAACAAGATGCGATTCATTATCATTCACACACATATATTCCACTCCAATTTTAGACAATTTCCTTTTTGTTCCAGTTTTCGATACTACTGTTGTCCACTCAGAACATTCGTCTCTTATCCAATATTCAATTCTAAGGGCTTTATTGGCATGGGAAACATACACTATATAAAAAAAAGTATGGGGATACCCCTTCAAATTAGTGGATTCGGCTATTTCAGCCGCACCCAACAGGTGTATAAAATCGAGCACACAGCCATGCAATCTCCAAAGACAAACATTGGCAGTAGAATGGCCTTACTGAAGAGCTCAGTGACTTTCAACGTGGCACCGTCAAAGCATGCAACCTTTCCAACAAGTCAGTTCGTCACATTTCTACCCTGCTAGAGCTGCCCCGGTCAACTGTAAGTGCTGTTATTGTGAAGTGGAAATGTCTAGGAGCAACAACGGCTCAGCCGAGAAGTGGTAGGCCACACAAGCTCACAGAATGGGACTACCAAGTGCTGAAGCGTGTAACATGTAAAAATTGTCTGTCTTCGGTTGCAACACTCACTACCGAGTTCCAAACTGCCTCTGGAAGCAACGTCAGCACAAGAAGTGTTAGTTGGGAGCTTCATGAAATGGGTTTTCATTGCAGAGCAGCCGCACACAAGCCTAAAATCACCTTGCGCAATGCCAAGCGTCGGCTGGAGTGGTGTAAAGCTCGTTGCCATTGGACTCTGGAGCTGTGATGGCACACTGTGGTATTTCACCCAATAGATATGGGAGTTTATCAACATTGGATTTGTTTTCTTTGTGGGTCTGTGTAATCTGAAAGAAATATGTGTCTCTAATATGGTCATACATTTGGTAGCTCAGTTTCTATTTCATTTTGTGGGCAGTGTGCAATATACTGCCATCTAGTGTTTCAGAACGTGCACACAGTTGACATCTATAAACTGTCACTCAGCTGCTTAAAATATCCTGGAGCAGATGCAGATAAAAAGTAGCCTGGTTGCCGTCTCTGTTCAGCTATTAATTCCACTCCCTGCCACTCCTGTCATTTGCCAAAAAGACTGGCCTTTTGGCAATCTTCAAATATGAACATTCTATCATTAATAGATACACACGGTGTGGCATGGTTTAACGTGACCACGCCCCCGAGTAGGGTACTGCTAAAAGACAGAGCAATGAGCCAGATGTATAAATGTGAACATCCGGTTGGCGTTTCCACTCACTACCAAATATGGTGATGAGAGGAAGCCCAGTGGCCGGCAGTGGGAGAAGATGGAGCGAGATGGATTTTGGTCGACACACTGCTAATTTTATTATCGATGAAACATTAGATATCCATACAGTTTTGGTACAGCCGTAGGGTACTCCCGTTACTCAAATCTTAAATTGCCTACTTTACGCATAACCCAACAACGCCTGTATTCTTTTAAAAAATCATTATATAAACATTTTGCATATGCTTGGTTGGTCATTTTTAAACAACAAACTACATCATATTTTAAAACACTTATATTCTAAACGTAAAAATGTTTGCATGAACAACCCCGTATAGTAGGTGGCGGCAATACACCAATAGGTGTAGTCTGCCATAAAACCTTAAAGAAGAAGAAGAAGTTAGCGCGAACACAGTCATATGCAGAGGCCGTAAAACAGATTGGTAGAACTACAGTGCGGACTGATGGAGTTTACATGGATGTACCTGTAGTAAGTGGACCTACTGTCGGGGCTGGTGCTACTGATGGTCCTGGCATGGTTTCGAGGCCTGTTACGAAATCTTGTGCTCATGAATGTGTGGTGTCAACGGACACTTTGATAATGAATATATTTGACTTTGTAGCTTTTATTGGTGAGGTTATCAATACGACTCGGGTTGTGGAAAGCAGAAATGCCAGATTGAAGGTTATTGTGGAAAAGGCAAAAGATGTAACAGATGTTACTGTTGAAATGGTCGTTGACATGCTGAACAATCCTAAGGGTGGAGTGTTTCAGCATGATATAGATAAAGCGTAATGTTTATATTTTTTTGGTGTGGTAGAAGTTAAGGATTTATTTTGTTTAAAAAAATGTTTTAATTGTAGGACAGAATTTGGCAGCTCATGATTTATAGTATATTCCAGCACAGTAGGTGGCGGCATGCACTTTAAGCGTTTGTTTGCGGAACGCAATGATATATTAGAAGAAGAAGAAGAAGTTGGAATGTATGTCACGATTATCAGCCGAAGAGCCGATTCCGACGGATTTCTTCAATTAACTAACTAACTAACCCTACTTTCAAGATGCCGAAAAGCTGTTGCATACCGTTTTGTTTGAACAATAGTAGGAAAAAAGACCCAAATTAAGTTTAATCAACTGCCTAAGGACCAGGTTAGACGAACCTTGTGGTTTCAGGTTTTTACACCGTCATGATGATGAAAAGCTGTGGGCTCCGGTTACTGTGTCCGAATACTCATACTAACCGTACTAACCTACTATTTGTGATGCAAATTGAGTATGTAGTATGCTTATTGGTCATAGTATGGATAGAGTTAGTATGCCAAAAGTTCCCGGATGTCGTACTACATTCGCCAAAATATGAAGTATACAAGCACTGGAGACTATTTCTGTGCTTTTAGGGCCCATAATGCAATTCTTCCGAAAATGGGCGTGGCTTCACAACGTTTTCAGATTTGAGGAAAATATGCAGCCCCGACGAGAGCGGATACAAATGAATTGCTTTAACTAATTATGACAAATGTTAAGAAAATGTTGAGCAATGTAATAAAGTCATGACTTTTCAAATAAGTTACGCTACACGTTATGTTGGCTGACAATTTGTTGCCTACGCTATCCTTACAAACAGCATACAGCAGTAGGTACCGGTATGTTAGCTAGCTACTAATGTTAGTTGGCTACTAATACATCGAACTTGCCAGTATATTAACTATATGCTATCTAACTCGTGCTCCTGAGTGGTGCAGTGGTCTAAGGCACTGCATCGCAGTGCTAACTGTGCCACTAGAGATCCTGGTTCGAATCCAGGCTCTGTCGCCGCCGGCCGTGACCGGGAGACTCATGGGCGGCGCACAATTGGCCCAGCGTCGTCCAGGATAGGGGAGGGAATGGCCGGCAGGGATGTAGCTCAGTTGATAGAGCATGGCGTTTGCAACGCCAGGGTTGTGGGTTCGATTCCCACGGGGGGCCAGTATAAAAAAAATATGTATTCACTAACTGTAAGTCGCTCTGGATAAGAGCGTCTGCTAAATGACTAAAATGTAAATGTAACTACCCACCCAACGTTTATTGACTTGATTATTCACCTCATTCTTAGCTAAGTTGTATAGTCGTTGTGCGTTCTCAATGGACATACATTTGCTCTGGCTAGCTACTCCGATTTCAGAGCACTCTCGTCTGAGTGTGCCAGAGCGCAGAATAACTGATACATTTTTGAGGGCTCAACACCCGTTGAATATGGCCGATGTCAGCAAACGTCGGCAAAAAAGCGTAATTAAATTGTTGCCAGCAGCACAGTTAGTCACTAACACTCTGGATAACATGAAAACAACCTAACCTGCTCTGCTAGGGCGAGTAAAATGGTCAGAGTGAGGTGTTCTCTCATTTGTGTCTGGAAGTAGCTAGCCAGTTAGCTTGTGTGCTTGATTGCTGTTGTGATGGTCAGAACGCTCGGATCAACCCCTACTCCTCGGCCAGAGCGTCCTGTATGCGCTCTGAATGCTTAGAGTTTACAAACGAACAATCTGGCAACGCTCTGAATTTACGAACACCCAGAGTGCACTCTGGCACTCCAGATTGAATTCACGAACACACCCGAAGTCATAAAATGTCTAGCTAGTAATTTGTTATGCTGACAAGCTAGCAAGAGGTTGCATAGCAGCAGATTCAACTTCCTGT